CTAACGCAAAAGCAGAGATTACGGTTGGTTATAACGTAAATGATGATAAATCACGAATTATTCAAAATGTTAAAGTTAATGTTAGTCCTGAATTAACAAGGTCAGCAACTCAACCAAATTTATTAACTCGTGACTTACCGAAGAATGAGGAGAATGAAGAAAACCTGAGAATGGAGACCCAATCATTTTATCTGAACCTGGTAAAGAACCTGTTGAAATTCCCACTTATCCAACATACCCCCCACCTCTTTCATCAAACATCGAGAACCCAGGAATCTACGATTACAGTCGCAATGCGCCATATAAAATAGACATTAATTCTGAATTAATGAAAATTTACCGTGATATCATAACTGATAATTATGATTCAATAATAAATTTAATTGACCAATCCGGTTTAATTATTTTACCTTATGAATCATTAATTCACATTATCGCCATTCTTTGTGATGTTCAAGATTCAGACGTGAAGATTCAATTTTTCATAGATGATGAGGTTTCATGCTGCGGAACAGTTGCAAAAATAAATCCTATAAAGGATATTAGCACAATTAAGATATCAAAGAACGGAACAACAACTGAACTTCATTTAACATATAATGATATTTATAATAAAATAGTTGATGAATATAAAATATCACTTGAAAAATTCTTTGTTAAGGCTATTTAATATTCAAGCATTAACATTATCGAATAATAATCCTTTGAATCATAATCGATAATAATTGACCTTTCACCAGTTTCTATCGTTTGTTTTATTTCTTTTTGTTCCCCACTATCCGGATCGGTCATTGTAATTGTTTTTGTTATAGTATCAGCTTTATCTTTAACTTCAATCTTTTTTCCATCGGGATATTTAAACCAAAATTCCAAAAATTCGATATTGTCAATCTGTTCATATTTTAATCTATCAATTACATTTTTAATACCATCTGAAAATCTTATGAAATGGTCATTATATGGGTTTGATTGAACTAAATTTGAATGAAGTGAAATATAACCTGATGATGAATATGACATCGACTCATATTTTCTGAAAACACTAAAATTTATAACATGAATGAATTTCTTATTCGTTGAATTTATGAATTCTTGAGGTAATCTTATTCTAGTTTTATTTATCACTGGAAAATAACGCTTTACCATATTTTTAATCGTAATAAAAAAATGTCAATTATCAATATTATTTCGAATAATAACTGTGAATTAAATTTAACAGTTAGCGGAATTTATAATGTTACTCTCGTTTCTGTGAGTGGTAAATTTAATCCCATTCTTTTAGACCCTTCAGATTATATATCATTTATTAAAGATGACCATGAGCCGCATAGCGGCGGGGTCGTAGACCTAAAAACGTATGATATGTATATAAATAATGTGATAACGAAATGGGATATTAACATGATTTTAAGTTATTTAAATGAATCATTTATCGTATGGTATGAAGAAAATTTTAAATCAAAACCTGATAAACTTTTTGAACTTGATGAAATAAATAACCTTATTAAATTTCCGCTGAAAATTAAATTTTGTACTCCTCGTCTTCGTTCATTGTTGGGGATATTAAATTTTGAAAAAGATGTTGGGGATGTTTTGTATTCTGACACTGGGTCCAATTTCATTTTAATCAAATGTGAAAGTTAATACCCCAATGAGATTTTCACATCAAACATTAGACCCTAACTCTTACCCATCAATACAAAACATTTTATCCATCAACTTAAACATATTTTCTTTATCATATCCGTTTCAATTATCCGGGAATTCATTTATTCTTCATTCAAAAGATTTATCAAATATTAAATTTAGAATAACTGACCTATTTGATTGTGATTTAGAATTTATGAATGAAATATTATGGCAATTTCAAATAGAAAAAAATAGCTGATGAGATAACAGATTAAATATTTATTTTAAATCGTAATAAATGATTAAACAACAGCAACTACAACAACTTAAGGCGCAGGACCATTACATACGCCATATATGCATATAATTCAAAGAGACGGCCAGAACAAACGCAAATGTTGAAATATGGAGATTTGGAGATAGTATTGAAAAATGACCATTTCGAATTCGTTTGCAAAGGTGGTGCAGTGATATCAAATATAAAAGAAATTTTATTTATGAATTCTAAAATTAAAGGTATAACGGATGATATAACATCAATTCCACCAGAAGAACAAAGATATTACGCATTAAATGCATTTCCTAAAGTTTTGAAGATTGGAAGATTTAATTTAAATGAGGAATTCATAAAAGGTTTCCTAAATGACATAATGAAGAAAGCAGATAAGGAATATGTTAACGATGAGTTAGCAAAGAAAGCAGATAAGGAATATGTTAACGATGAGTTAGCAAAGAAAGCAGATAAGGAATATGTTAACGATGAGTTAGCAAAGAAAGCAGATAAGGAATATGTTAACGATGAGTTAGCAAAGAAAGCAGATAAGGAATATGTTAATGAAAAAGATAATGAAATTATAGAAAGGGTTGAATGGTATCATGAATGGACATCAAAGATTCTTAAAACTAAAGCTGATACAGGATGGGTTTCAGAATGTTTAGACCTTAAAGCAGATATATCATTTGTTAACGATGAGTTAGCAAAGAAAGCAGATAAGGAATATGTTAACGATGAGTTAGCAAAGAAAGCAGATAAGGAATATGTTAACGATGAGTTAGCAAAGAAAGCAGATAAGGAATATGTTAACGATGAGTTAGCAAAGAAAGCAGATAAGGAATATGTTAACGAAATATACCAAAGTTTGATAGGAACAAAAAATATTGAAACTATTGTTGGTGACTTTTCTGTCAATGAAGAAAATAAATATTTTAGATGGGAGTTTGTACACTCCTTAAAAAATGGTATACGGTATAAACTCATTCCGAAAAATAACAATGAAATGTATGTAAGCTATATAAAGAATAATGGTACACAAGTTAAAGTTCCATTAGACAACAACTGTTACTTAAACTTATATGGAGACGAACAAAAGAAATATTTAAGAGTTTATGAAATGACAGATATGACATTGCCTAACCCAGCTCCAGCACCATATTATTATGACTATGGTGTTGACGCACGTGTAGACCCAAAAAAGCAAACATTATATTTAGAATATTATAGATATAAAAGATATAATGCAATAGAAAAAACGAGAATAGTATATTATTATACAGATGACAAAAATAAATATTATAGTCAAGATTTTACATACCCTGAAAACATAAGATTATATTATAAAAAATATTCTGACACAAACCAGAAGAAACCCGAAATAGTTACACTATATTTTAAGTTCAAAAGAGACAATCCTATAATATCTCATATGTTTGATTTAATGAACCCAGTAGGTTCTATTTATACATCTATGGATGTGAGAGGTCCTCAAGCAATGTTTGGTGTTGGTGCATGGGAACAAATAGTTGACAGGTTTTTGTATTGTGCAAACTCTTCAAAGGAAACAGGGGGAAGTAAAACGATTACAGGTGAAAATTTACCTGCACACAGTCACTACATAGATTTAAGTACATCTCAAGCAGGTTGGCATAAGCATAGATATTGGGATTGGTCAGGAATGACAAAAGGTAAAGGATATGATGTTAAAGATGATGTTAAATTTGCCATAAATTGTTACTGGAGTGACACTCAGGGAGAAGGAAACCATACACATCGCGTTTCAGGATATACACAAACAACGGGACAAAGTAAAGATACATGCCACCATTTACATGACTGTTTCGCATGGTATAGAGTTCAATGAATGAACTAAATATATTTTATGTCTGTAATTAATTTTTTTTTCAGTGTCACTACGTCACCAGGTTAAATTAACTTCTTTTAAAAATGATGACAACATGACATTTACGAAAGGAGGAAGGCAAAAATATAATTTAGGGTAGAAGGTTAGATCTAACCTCATTCTCTCTTCGTTAATGTTGTTGTGACTTCTTCATTAATGTTGTTGTGACTTCATTCTTCCTCTTTGAAGTTATCGAAATATTCTGTTATTTTTTCCTTCAGTAATGGCAAATCTTCTTTGAATGTAAGTATTGTGCAACCTTTAATATCATAGTGTGTTTGAGGTAAAGTATCTTGAACTATTTGTTTAACTTGTTCATTTGGGGTCATTGAAATCGGTAAGTTTTCACGATAGAACCAGTTTCTGTCAGATTTGTAAATCTTAGCTAAGTCATAAAAGCTTTTGTTGTTTCTTCTGACTAAATGCAACATAACCATATCTTTATCTTCTTCATTTTCCATCTCTTCAGTATAAATCATATACTTATAGTTCTTTTCCTTTCCTTTTGGTACCGAACGTGGTATTCTTTTCTGTATGTTTTTGTCTTTTGCTTCAATGACTTCATCTTTTGCATGAAGTTTCTTTTCCATCTTTTCACGTTCTTGTCTGTGAATTTCATCTAACATCATGAAAATATAACAAGCATAGCGAGGTGAAGCCCACATTGCAACAGCATTTACTAAAAGTCTATGAACATAATATCCTTTCAAACCAGGAGCCAAATTCTTGCGATTTTCGTACGGAATCTCTTCCCTCGGTTTTTCGAGGGAAGCAAACATATGAGGAAATTCTTCTAAAAGTTCTTTTGTCTGTTGGTTTTCAAACCAATGATATGCTTGCTTTGTAGAATGAAGAGCATTCATTATACTTTGCATTTGGTACATGTCATCTTTGACCGAACGAATGAGACGGAGTTGTTTGTTAAACTGTATGTACTCATATTCTTCATTTATAGCTTCATGAACGATAACTGTTGTTGTGTTCTCTGTTGTTGTGTTCTCTGTTGTTGTGTTCTCTGTTGTTGACATATCTGTCTTTATATACAAAATAAAAAAATAAATAAAATAAAACTAACTTTATTTTTTCTATCTTAAGGAAATTCATGATTTTTGTTGCTGAATTCAATAAAAATATAATTTAGGGTAGAAGGTTAGATCTAACCTCTTTTCTAACCTCTTTTCTACCCCAGTTATTTTATAAGCGTTTTACATGGTAAACGTTATGAATTCGTGAGACTTTAAACAGTTTCGTAGCTTCTATTTCTTCGCTGAGGATATCAAATGTTTTAACGATACCGAAAGTTTCTTTATACTTCTTCTTGACATCAGATAGAAGGAAATCGTCAACTGTTGGATAGTTTTTGTTCAGAAATTCTAACATGTTCATTTTATTTTCTGCTGGTTTCTCTACTTCTTTCTTTAAGTCAGCATAGTCGTTTCGCATACGTTCTATCTCTTTGACGGAGTAGTTATATTTCCTAATTGCTGCTTTACATTTAGAACATTGTGGGTTCATTTTTGCGTTATATTCTGAAACCTTACCTGCTAGAACAACCAAGGCGTCAATGGTTTTCTTTAACTCAAAAGCTGTTGGTTTTATTTGTTCGTTCCATATTTTACCCCTTCTATCTTTATCTCTTATCTGCCATACACATTTTGCAACTAATGAAACAAAGTTGTTGTATGTCTTAAACTCCTCCGATTTATATATGTCAGAGATGTTTTTATATACCATATCACAATCTTTGTCCATAACCTTATGGTTGCAATGAAAACCAAGGAATTCATAATTTACCTTTCGTATGAACTTCTTTATTTCTACCGAGTCAGTTGGTTTCACTTCAATTTCGTCGAATTCAGGAATAGTTAGTTTTTGTTGTTGGATTTCAGGTAGTTTAGGCAAATGGTCAATAATGTCCTGCATTTCATAAAGATATTCTTCATTTGTTTCATCTTTCGCACTACAGTCTAAATTACTTGTTAACAGTTCTTGCTTTATCTTCTGGATTTTTGTTTCGAAAGTATATGAAGAAGGAATGAAGTTTTTCATCTCTACTAACATTGACGTAGGATTCATGACTAACGAGTTTGGTGCTGTTGTTGTGGACAGAGTCCCGCCGTTCGCGGCTTGAATTGTTGTTGTGCCGATTGTTGTTGTGCTGATTGTTGACATTTCTGTTCTTACATACAAAATAAAAAAATAAATAAAATAAAACTAACTTTATTTTTTCTATCTTAAGGAAATTCATGAAAATTCATGAAAATTCATGAGGTTAGAAAAGAGGTTAGAAAAGAGGTTAGATCTAACCTTCTACCCTAAACATGGGTTTCGCCCTTGCCGCTAGCGGCTTATTTTTGGGTCATTTACGCTCATTACGAAGAAGTCTTAAGGAAATTTACGAAGAAGTCTTAAGGAAATTTACGAAGAAATCATGAAAATTCATGAAAATTCATGAGGTTAGAAAAGAGGTTAGAAAAGAGGTTAGATCTAACCTTCTACCCTAAACATGGGCTTCGCCCTTGCCGCTAGCGGCTTATTTTTGGGTCATTTACGCTCATTACGAAGAAGTCTTAAGGAAATTTACGAAGAAATCATGAAAGTCCTGAGCTCCAAAAGAGCAAACAGCATAATTTAAATTTTTATTTTAGTATAAATGAAGATTCTACCATATGGTGTTATTGGAAGAGATAAAGATGGAAACCCAATATTTGATCCAAAGTTAAAATTAAAGTTACTGACAAGACAACAACTTGAAAAGTTGCTGAAACCAAAACAGAATGAAAAATGAGAAAATGAGAAAATGAGAAAGAAAAAAAATTTAAATTATGCAATTTTATTTTTATCATAAATGACCAAATTAATTAAGCCAACTATTTCTAAATTAATGATACCAATGAAATCATTTCATGGAGTACTTATCCCAGGTTCTTCACAATTAGCCGGGGCAAGTGTTGTGACTCAAGGTGGAACATTAGCGAATCCATTCAAATTATTAACTAAAGATGAAGTTAATAAAATGATGATAAAATAACTGATAACAAAATTTTATTTCAGTGCTACCATAAAAACAGGTGAAAAAACAGGTGATATCTCACCTAGCCGCTTTGCGGCTCTGACCCTTTGGGTCTCTTCACCTAAATTATGGGCTTCGCCCTTGCCGCTAGCGGCTTATTTTAGGTCAAAGCTTCCACGAGAGAAAAGATTCCTCATTCGCTAAGGATTCCAAAAATGAAAAAATCATTGATTTTGGCTGAGAAAAAACAGCAAAACCCTTCTTCCACGGGAACAAAGAAATAAAGAAGAAATAAAGAAGAAATAAAGAAGAAATAAAGTAAATTTTTTATTTATTCCCGTGGAAGATAGAGCACTTTTATGACACTTTTTATTCACGACAAACAAGACAAACAAAGAAAATAAGAAAATACGGCGCTGTCGCGGTTCGAACCACAGACCTTGACCCCTCCATAACACCACCTTAGACCACTGTGCTACGTAGCCTGTCGACATAAGATTTTATAAATTGCATATTTGACGTAAATTTATTTCCCAGTTATTCAATAATTAATTATTTTTGAATAACCTAAAAACATGAGACTTTGTCTCCGGACTCTTTGAGTCACTTCACGATAAAATAAGTGATAACAAATTTTTATTTTTATCATAAATGAATACCCCACAAGCTCAAAATTTACCACGAATCATAACAAGGGAGGAAATGATAAAAATGATGCAAGAACATGTTAAAAATAACAAACCACTAAAATTGAGAAAATGTGGTTATGCGGTAATGATGGAAAGAGAGATGTTGTCGAAGAGGAATAAAAATTAAATTTGGATAGAGTTTAAAAATTCATCTTTATTAAATTCATCTCTTCCAATCAATTTATTTATTCTATTAAATTCTTTTATTTTTGCTTCACTCAGTTTAAGGATTGAACGATAAGTTTCTAATTTTTCGATTATTTCTTTCCTCTCTTTATCGTTTTCAACCCCACCACATTGTGGCTTCTTTTTGTAATAACATATTTTTGATTTAATTCTGTTTAGTTTCTTTTTATATTCATCGTCTGGACTCTGAATCTTAATTGAATCAGGACTCTTGACTGCTTCATTGTCACTCATTTTCTTACGAAATAAAAAAAATTAAATATTATTTAAATATAATGGAGTAATAAAATAAATCGGAATTTCTATTAATTTATCGCCAACTTCAACTAATGCATTGCCGTTAATATATCTAACAAATTCAGCTATTGTGTCAAATCTTCGTCTTCTTTTTGTCATTAATTTATTAGTTTTTCCATAATCGAGATGAATCAAAACTTTATCCCCTTGTTTAAAATTCATGAGCCCCGAATTAATTTGTTCACGTTTAACATCATTTAACCTTTCCATTTGCTTTCTAATATATTCCCATTCTTTTGAAATATCATTTTTCATTTCCACTGGTTTCATGTTTATAGTTCTATGCCATGTATTATTGTAATAATATACTAACTGCTGTATGATGGAGTCATGATTTCCATCCCAGTATATCTGACCGTTAACCCCTAACGCATCTCTAAGAGTTCTCATTACCGCATCAATTATTTTATTATGAAACGTATATGGAGAGGATGAAAAGTAAAAATTAATTTGTGGGAAATAATGAGTCATAGTTGCCTGAAATCCTTTATCGCCATCACCCCGGATATTATCTACTCTTTCATGATCTAGTAAGTATTGAATAGCTCTTCTTGTTTCCTGTTCTGTTTTCCCTTTCACTGGAATGCAATATAAATATCTGGTGTTAATGTTAATGGCAAATAAATAAGTAACTTTTCCTTTTGAATATTCCAGATGATCGATTTCGTATGAATATGGATATGGAGCAAATGAAGGGCGACTAAATTTTTCCTTTAACGGTTGAATTTTCGGGTCAATTGGTTTATTTAATATCTTGAAATCCTTTTTAAAATCTTTTTGCTTCTTTAATGTTTGAAATGGATATAATAAAGTGAATGATGAAGGATTAACTGAAGGAGGAGGAGGTACTGTCGTTGGAGGTTTTGGTGTTGCAAGTGGTTTAATTTTATCTGCTTTGATTTTGGATGATGAAGTTTTAGTTGTTGATTTTCCTTTCATTAATTCTGGATGTATTCTATTCATTTGTTTTAAATATGCTGTATATAAAGGTTTGATATACTTTCCCGCTTCGAGTTTATGTTGAAGGATGAATTCCAAAAGTTGATCTTCATTTAAAAGTCGGGCTGAATATGGTTTAACTAATGAATCATAAATTAAAGCTTGTGCATCATTTATGGTCTGAAGGACCTGGGTGTTTTGCACCTTTAGCTGTTGAACATTTGCTACTTTCTCTTTTGGCTTTTGCGGCTCAGGATTATATAAATTATATAATTCATCAATATCTTCTTCTGTTAATACTTTATTTTTGAAATCTTTCAACTGTTTCAGTTGTGGTTTAGTTTTTCCCTTTTTATAATCATTATTTTTAATTTTGTCTTTAATTTTAGAAATTATTCTATCATGATATTTCAAAACTTCATTTTTATAATATGGATAATAATAATCCATATCATCACCCGTTATATTTTCATCATATTTTTGGAGATATGATTTAAAATCATAATAACTAAGAAAATTTTGATTAAATATTAAATCATCAATTAAAATTATTAAATCTACGTTATCCATTTATATAAAAATAAAATAAATGTTTAAGGGTGCCCACCTCTTTGTCTCTTCTGTGGCATTTCATTAAATAAATGGCATACAACATCCATTTTCACAACATACAGCCTTAGTGTGTGCTCCTGTTAATGCAGTCTTACCGATTGTTAAGCGAGTCATTGACCCGTTTTTAAGTTGTAAATTAATATTTTGACCATCGAAAATAACTTTATCATTTATTATATCCAAATAATTTTTAGGTGTTAATTGTTTATTTTGTCGTAAACTAACTCCTTTCATTTTTTGTGCAATCTTTTTAAAATCACTTCCATCAATTGAACCGTTGAATGAAGTATAACATTTAGGACATAAAGCAACCATGTTATCACCTTGTTTCTCAATTGCTAAACCCAATAACTTCTTCTCATGTGCTTTTTCTTCAGCTTTATTCTTTAATTTAGGTTTAAATTTCTCATCAAAACAGAAGAAATCAAAAGGTGCGAATTTGTAAATGTTTTTATCATAAAATTTTTTATCGGTTACAATTGCTTGAAATGCTTGAGTGTTAGGAAGATTTGGGTCGCCAGCGATTGCCCAATAAGATGAATCAGTATCACCTTCAATGAAATGAAAATGATTAACATCCATGCATTTATACATAAAATCATAAATGAAAACTAAATACCAGTATTTTGCGTTATCTAAAGTAAAAAATGCCTCTTGTAAACATGTATCACATCTATAAAATCTATCTTTAAGCATCACTTGATACGTATCCTCTCCTATTTCTCTTATGTTTTTAAACTTATTTGACATACATGCAACGCGTGCCTTCTGTGCATTCATTATTTTAGTCTTTGCGTAATTTTGTGTATTCATTGCATCGTAACCATATGATCCATTAAGTGAAATCTTGCAAAATAAACTTTTTCCTTTATTTCCTTCTAATTCAGCCTTTTGTCTTTCGTTCATAAATTTGTTCGCAAATTCATTAAAACAAGTGTTTTTAGTAAATGTTAAAATTGATTGAATATCATCAATGATAAAATGAAATCTATCTATTAGATACCAAAGATAATAAGAAGAAAATGGTTGATATTGGTTGTGTGTTGATGCTAACTGAGTTAATTTTCTCTGTTTCTGGTCAACTGGTAGATTGTTTGATTTCATGTAATTATACATAAAACTGCCAATTGTTTTTTCATCTGTGATAATATCTAAGTTTCTTATTATTGGTAAAAAGTTTATGTAATCATTAATGTATTTTTCATCAATGTGACCCTTTACTTCAGCCACGAATAAAGTATTTTTCTTCTTAATTATTCCCAGTGCTTTTGCTTTCTTTGTTGCTGTATCACAAATGATAACTCCATTCAATCTTCCCGGCATATACATTTTATGGTCAGTATATTGAATAAAATCATGAGGATTAGATGAAAATGATGAAGGATATAATGAATTAAAGTCAACACCAACAAAATGAGTCATAATGTTGGTGGTGT